TAAAGCTTGTTTAGTTTGGCTTACAACTTGTTTGGGAAGTTTCATGTAAATTCTTCTTTAAGTGTGATTTTTGGTAACCCCCTGGAGTGGGCAGAGCGAGCACTGACAGGCCTACACGATTGATGATACTGTCTTTTGACACAGTATTTGGAGATACTATATTATTTAAAGGCCTGAAGGAGTTTAAAGCAACAAAGAAAATACTATGATTATGGATTTAAAAATTGGAGGAAGACCAGATTTCTGTACCCTTACTTGTTATCAACTCAGTTTGGGAAAAGACAGAGGTTTTTGGGTTTTTTTTTTTTTTTAAAAAGGAGGAATTAAATCATTTTACATTTGCAAAATATTTGATGTTGTCTCATTAAATTCGAAAACTTCCATTAGCAGATGCTCAGTATATAGAGAAACCAGAAAGACCTATCAACTTTAGTTAGGAAGTAGAGAGAACAAGCAAGGAAAAAGGAAATACACTTTGCAAGATTAATTTGCCCTTTATAGCTTCAAAATGTCTTCAATGTGCAAATGACCCACCCACTTCAGGAACCTCAAGAAAAACTTTGCTGGCCCAACCCACTAAAGGAGTAACCCTTGGCAATTTGCTACATATGTTGAAACTAGAGCTGATATATAAGTGCAGCAGTAGCCATAAAATCTGCCAGGTAAGTCTGATTGAGGTGTTCTTCTTAATTGTGTGTGTGTGTGTGTATGTGTGTGTGTGTGTGTGTTGGAGGAAGTGGCAACAGATACCATTTACCAGTCTAAAGCTCAGAAGAAAACTTTCAGAGACTGCTACTGAAAAAACAAGTTCACATTTTTGGAAAAATGAGTGTTTGTCCGGTTAGTCACATGCCTGAGGCACAGAGTATGAAAGCCTATCAAGAGAGAGAGGAAAATGAATCTCCGGTAGGTCCCGTCTAGTTAAACATCAAAAGACAAGGCACAAAAAAGCAGACCTTAATTCTCCACCTCCCCCTGTTCTGCCAGTGCCATGGTTCTTCACAGCTGTTTGCAATCACCGCTTGGTTAACTCAGCTCAGTCCCCCTAGCCCTCCTCTTGAAACAAACAGGATATCGCTCTGTTATCATGGAACTAATAATTTCAGGGTTTTGACTTGTAAAGGACACTTAGAAAAAAACTTTGAATAATTATCTCCTGCTGACCCAACTCACCCTTGGCTTTCTCACTCATTCACACAATACTAACTTCACACTGCGGTGCAGTCCTGTGGGCCAGAGATCACAGACTGTCCTGACTTCCCCTATTTTCACTCTGTTTCTCTGAATACAGAAAAAAGTGACCCTTCTGACTGACAAGCAGATTCCTTTCTTACAGAACTCACAGCACACAGCAATCCTCCTACCTTAGCCTCCCAGGTGTTGGGATTATAAGCAAGAGCCACCTCACAGGGCTTTCCTTTATGTTTTCCTTTTTTCCTTCATTTTTCAACCTGTCAATACAGGCTCCTTCCTCATAGACTATCCATGGAAAGAAGGGAGTAAGAAGGGAGTGAGACATCGCCATTTATTTTCTTATTTTACCAGTTAAGTGTGCTCATCACCAAATCTTTCCAGACTCAATCCTATCCTCCTATATAGTTAGCTGTGTTTGTGCTTTGTTTGAGATGAAGGCATTTCCTGGGGCTTTTTGTGCCCCTCCCCCTTTTTTCTTATAACTATAGCTATCTGTCCTGCCTTCACTCTAGTCCAAGTCTTTCCTTTCCATCTTCTGGCCAAGTATCTACCTGGATGACTTGCATCTCTGAGGCATCAGGACCAATACCAAAACACCTTAATTTTTCCTCCCAGATTCCCTAAACCTTTCAATGTTCCTGTTTGCTCTTATCTTCTGGCCACCAACTCTTGATCTTATTACAGATGTATCAAGAGAAGAAGAACCAATTTACTTGCCAGGAACTAAGATTTTGCTTCAATTATCTCTCACATAAGTCTCATGTAATGGCACATACTACTGAACTGCTATAACATTCTTTTAGTATCCTTACCTCAAGTTTCAATAAACCTTGTTGCTAGAGGAATATCTCAGCATGACTTTTGCTTAGGCCTGCTATTCAAGATAACATTTCTCAAGTGTTACATAAATATAAATCATATGGTGATCTATTACAGTGCAGATGCTTGGCAGTAAGTTGGGTGGCACCTGATTGTGGAGATCTAACATGTTTCCAACGGATGATGTTAGGATAGTAAAAACACACACACACAGAGGCACACAGGTCAAAATGGTCTCAATATGATTTCCAGCCCCCATGTCTATTGCTGTCTTAAGTCCACTATCTTTCAGAATTCTAGCCATTTTCAAGAACCAAATCTTTCTGTCAGAGCAATTTCTTATCTACGAACCTACCTTTGCCCTACAGAGTAAACACCACAAAACTTCAGATCACCCATGACACTTCATTTGTACGGCTTTGGCCCAGCAATAGGACCTCCTGTTTCATCCCACCTGCTGGACTTCATAGGCTTCCCAAGGGCAGAAGCTATCTGCTCCACAGCCATAAACTGGGTCAGCTCTGGTCAGCTTTAGTAAGTGCCTACTGCTGCAGGTATGTGTTCTAAGAAAAATAGAATATTTCATTCTACTTTGTGTAATTTACTCTGTACAGCTACTTCATTCTAGGAGAGTCTATACATTATCAAATGTAGGAAAATCGTGCTATCTGCTACTTAAAAACTTTTAAATATAAACATTCAGGCAGTGTAGGGGGAATTTTAGGGCTTAGCCTGTTTCTGGTAGTCGCTGGGTACATATATCAAGCTTCTGATACTTGTTACAATCTAGTAACTACTATGCTACAAACTTATACTTTCTAACTTAGATGTGACCCTCCTGTCTTAATTTACCTAATGCTCTTTTATCATTCCTTTTGTTAAACAGTACCACTTTCTACACTCGGGCTGTCTGCAAAATTCTTTATTATTAAAGTGTTTTAGATTCCACGAAGACCTTGCTCTAAAACTTGTCTCTTGAATTTATATGCTTATAAAGGCCACGAAACCCAACCGAAATAAAATATGCTAACTCCCTTTAAATATCAAAGAACTGCCGGTATACAAGAGCCTAACCACAGTCCTTAAACTTTCAGTGTGTTCAAGAGCTGAGGGGAGTGCTTGTTCAACACGCAGATTCCAGGTTCATACCCAGAAAGTCTTGTTTAGTAAATGGGGGCGGAGCCTAGAAAACTGTCCATTTAACCAGCATCCCCTTGGCAATTCTGATGCAGGTGTTCCGGCAGATCTCAATTAGAGAAACAGAAAATCAAAACCCTAGACTAGGCGCCACGACGGACCTGTATTTGGAGGATAAATGTAGACATCTCTTTTGAAAGTCCGTTCTCAAAACAACTGTCGCAACAGCACCAGGACAGAATGAGTCACATATTTGGGTGTGGGAGTGTAGAAGGGACCCCCGGAGGGTGGTTAAAAACAATGAAAGCGGGGAACTGACTTTCTTTCCTACGCCGGGCGCTGTGTTCTACAAGCATCCCTCATCCTCTTTTGAAGATGCTGTTACCCTCGCACAGCCAGGACCAGGCAGGCGCTCCGGAAGGTGTCGCGGCTTTCTGCCCATCCGCAGTCACTCTCATCCCTGCGAGGGGAACCCCGACTCCGGTTCGCAACCTCTCACCTGCCGCGCGGCCGCAGCTCCACGTCGTCGTCGTCGGGCTCCGTCGCGCGTGACTCCTGTTCGCCGGCGGCAGCCGGCAAAGCCTCGGCGTCCTCCACGGTCACCTCGGCTGTAGCGACCGCAGGTACCCGCGCAGCCGAAGTCGGGGCGGCCGCTGCCCCCAGGCTAAACGCCGCATCCGCCGCGGGCGCTAGCAGGCTGCGGGCGCGCGCGGCCGCCGAGACCCCCGCCGCGCAGCCCAGCAGCAGCAGCAGCAGCAGCAGCGCGCGCAGCCCGGGCCGGGTGGCGCGCTCCATCAGCGGCCCGCCCCACGCGCGGGCATGGAGAGCCGGCCGTCGGCGCTCGCCCGTCCCGCCGCTCGGAGCCCCGGAGCACCGCGAGCGCGCACCACGGACCCCGCCGCCTCCCGACTTCGCGCCGCAGCAGCACGGCTGCCGGGCCACGTCTCAGCCACCACCACCTGAGTGACAGCCTTGTGCGGACATCGCCCATTGAGCGAGTGTTCGGCGCGTCTGCGCTGCGATTGGCTGAGCGCCCTGCCATTCCGAGCCGGTCCTGGTTGTCAACATTATACCTACCAATCAAATTGTAGTTTTGCCCGTGGAAGTCCGGCCCTTTTCCGGAAGCTGTGGCCAATGAGAAATGCCCCTCCCCAGAGTCCTCCTAGCTGATTGCTGAACCATTCCATATCCCGAACGCCTTCTCCGGTACAGATTGGCCCACCCTGCAATTAGCCTCGCCTCTCAGACCGAGGCGCTGGAGAAGACTTGAAGATCATTGGTGCAAGTGGATGCCCTTCAAAGGCCGGCGATAACTGCTTCTTGATTGGTTGGAAGCGGCTCTTAGTACGTGGCTGATTCTGACTGTGAAGAGGATGGTCCCCAGTGAAAGGAAGAGTGGGAGGAAGTCCCGGGTGGCCGGGAGGTGGCCGACCTTAAAGGGATATATGCTTTTGCTTGTTCCACGCTGGATCTATTTGCAAGAAAGGGAAAGGGGAGGGTGGTGTGTGTGACTGCGCAGGTCGCGTGACCTTAAAAGTGAGTGGAAGAGAAAAGTTCAGGAGTTGTCCAATAGCGGCCAGGACGGTACTGAGAATTACAGCTTTGATAGAGAAGACAGTGACCTGTAGAACAGAAAACCCAGCGCGCCTGGAACGTCACCTACTCGGTTATAAACGAGGAACCCACGCCTGGCGCCCTTAAGTAATCTGCTCAAGGTCACATAGTCCTAAAATGCGACTTAATTTCAAGTCTCCCGGTCGGTTTGGGGTGCTTTACACTGCCCTAAGGAGACAGAAGTGGAGAAAGTTTGAACGTTTAGTTAAATCATCTAAAATTCTCTTAAGAACACCCTGAAGATCCCTGAGCAGGTGTGTGGGACAGTACGAGGTTGCATCTTTCAGCAGTGTGTTCAGGACACTAGCCAAACCACTGGGAAGACTTTTAAAGATGCTGGCAATTTGTGTGCGCTGGTCTCCGCCTGCACAAGCACACTAAGTTCCTCCCAGCCCCAATCCTTATAAACTTGTTTCTCCCTTTAGTTCTGACCACGTTTTTCTTCGCTCTTTTGTACACAAATCCCTCGACGCCTTATCTTCCTTTCTTGTTCCCTCGTCCCACACCCACTGTACCGGCTCACTCCACCCAGCTCTTACACTCTGACATGCTTTTGTTGAAGCATGTCCCATTTTGATGAAAGAGTCCCGTTTTCATCCCAAATGTCTTCGACTGTGGAACTCAACCTTTCTCTATGACCTTCAAATGACCATCTGTTTTGCTCAGGATGAAAACCAAAGACCTGAAGTTCTTACCCCGAGAATGAGTTCTCTAGGGTTGTCATTGCAAATCCCACAAAGCGTGCATGCTCTAGAGTCTAGAATTCCACTATTAGGAGCCGTCGGGGCTGAATTTGTGCCACTCTATTGCCTCTTCATGTGAACGTTCCTCCGCACACATGAATCTCTTTTCTTTTCTTTTTTTTCTTTCTTTCTTTTTACTTATTCTTAAAGATTTTAAGTTCATATGTGTATCAGTCCTGTTGTCTGGAGGAAACTTTCCTTGGAGTTATTGCCACCTCTGGCTCTGACAATGTGTATCAGTCCTGTTGTCTGGAGGAAACTTTCCTTGGAGTTATTGCCACCTCTGGCTCTGACAATCTTTCCTCTTCTTGGGCACAGCACTTTGAGGCTTGAGGGGAGAGGTTTGATACAGACATCCTGTTTAGGGCCAAGTGGTCCAAAGTCTCTGACTGTGTGTAAATTGTTTAGTTCTGGATCTCTTTGTTAATTGTCACCAATTGCAAAAAGAAGTTTCTCTGATGAGGGTTGAACACTGCTCTACTCTATGGGTACAGCAATATGACATTAGGAGTCATTTTATTGCTATGTTCTTATAACACAACAGTAGTAGTTTTGCCCTACTACTAGATAAGTCTGTGGCCTATCTAGCCTCAAGTTCTTGGTCACTTCAGCAGCATCAGCTTATGGGTTCCATCTTATGGAGTGGGACTTAAATCCAATAAAAAGTGGCTGGCTACTCCCATAACATTTGTGCCACTATTGCATATATGGATTCAACAGGGACCCTGACAGCATACAAAAGAACTACAAAGTCTCACACCAGAAAAAATCGCAGCATTGACAATTCTGGGGAAGTGGACACAACGTTCCACCTTTAAAGCCATAGATACTTGCCAGGAAAAGGAAAGCTAGTTTTCTCTAATGGAGTATATCAGCCATACACCAGGGCAGGCCCCTTGCCTAGAGTAGTTAGCTAGCTAAGACAAAAAGCTGTTTTGTGCACTTTTTGTTTTGTTTTGGAAGGGTTTTTGTCCTATTAAATATTTTTTCAGTTTGTTTGTCTGCTTTCGTTTTCGGTTGTCCCCCCCCCCCCCGCTGTTTTTGTTTTACAAAGAACATGATGCTGAGTGAGTAGTGAGGTGAGGAGGAGATGGGGGAGTGGGAAATACCACAAAATATATATTGGATGAAAAAATAAATTTATAATGTAAAAATGTTTTACTTTAATTATTTTTAACTATGTGTATGTGTATCTCTGAGTATAGGTTTGTACATGTGAGCACAGTGTTTGTGGAGGCCAGAAGAAGGCACAGGAGCCCATGGAGCTGGAGTTACAGGTAATTCTGAGCTGCTTGAAGTGAATGTTGGAACCCAAACTATTGTCCTGTGCAAGAACAATGCATGCTTCTAAACACTTAGCAGTTTCTCCCATCCTTCTTTTTATTCTTGGAAAGACATCAGCAATACTGGATTAGAGCTCCGTCCTAAGGCTTCATTTTAACTCAGTCATCTCCTGGAAGGTCTCACTTGCAAATTGTGCTCTGGGATGCCAGGGTTAGGATTTCAACATACAGATTTAGAGGGGAGGGGCGTAGTTCAGCATATAACTTCTGGACACCCACAAGATGTGTTTTCACTTTATCCAAAGTTGTATTAACTTCCCGATGAGGTGCCTCTCATTCACCTTATTTAAATTAGAAGAACCCTTACTTTCTCTGTTCTTTTCCTACTTTATTTCTCTCAGGCTTTAAATGCTATACATACTATTCTTATCTTTATTGCCTGCATACCTCTATTTGTATGTAAGTTTTTGATCATTTGCTTATTAATGTATTTCAAAGGGCCTAACAAAGTTCAGGTGTTAGTAAGTGTTTAATAAATATTTATTATGAATAAATAGATACTCAAGAATGGGGAAGAAAGAAACAAGTAGAGAATGAGAGTGCTGTTGTTATGGATGGAGGGATCAGTAGAAGCAATATCCTAAAGTGTCTGAGGACACAGGAACAGCTCTGCTTTCCATTTTGAAAGCAGAGATTAGGAGGCATTCCTAGAGAAAAAATTATATTGAAATATAGAGAAAGTATATCTTAAAAAAAAGCTCAAACGAGTTGACTCAGTTATTCACTCAAAAATATTGATAAATGATAATAAATGATATGAGGAAGTTGCCAGAAAACTAACATCAGATGAAAAATGATTCTTAACAGCTTGTAACAGCCCTTTTAAAACGAGCTGGTGCCTATATGTTGGTGGAAACAGTCTTTATGGTTTTGTAAATTTTTCACAAAGTAATCATGACATGAAGAAGGCTATTAATGTAAGCTAATGAATCGGGAGTCTGCTCACTATCTTTAAATGATGCAAATATTTTGTTGTTCTTCATGCATTTATTTCGTTAGATGTTAGGGGATATCTCATGGCACCTGCATGCAGTAATTAATAAGAATGTAACCAAAACAGCTGTGGTCCTTGTTCTTCTGACCTTTAACAGCTTATCCAGGTAGGCAGACAGACATTAGTGATTATGCATATGCTTTATGTATTTATAAAAACGAAGAGAAGTGCTCTGATGGATGAAGTAGCCATAAAAGAGCAGTGATAGACACAGCTAGTAAGGATCACTTCTCTGATACTCAGGGAAATGACAAGCAAATCTTTCCACTTTGGAAAAGGAAAACAGTCATGACTCAGAAGCAGCTGACTGGGTAATAACTTGAAAGGCAGAAAAGGAAGCCTGTTCGTTTTAGGTCAGCATAGCATGTCTCAGCGACAGACAGAGTCTCTGAGCCTGGTCTGAGTGTCCTGGGGGACTGAAAGGATGTGGAACTAAACGAACCATCTGGTCAGTGAGCCGAGGCCAGGAAAAGGAGTCTGGCATCGAAGTGTCCTGAGCCAAGGCTGCTCTGAACAATTAAGACCTAAAACAAGCTTGGTCCAGAAGGTCTGCAAGATACATCTGAGATTCAGAAACTGCAGACTCATTCCATTAAAAGAGAGAGTGTTTGACATCATGTCTGAGGGTAAATAACAAGAGCCTTTCCTGCTGTGAATAAGTAAGGAGTTTATTTTTCTCCACAGCCTAACAGCCCACAATGATGTGGACTTGTGTGCTTTCTTTTCCCTTCTTCCTGAAGGACATCCTGCTTGCCACCTCACAATCTCAGGATGGCAACTCCAGCACTTGGTAAAGAAAGGGGAAAGTCCAAGAGCACACAGCTACCTGAATTCACACTTATCCAGGAGTAGAAGCCCAACAAGGGAACCCATATTTTCGTGTCACAGATCAGACATTAGCTGAAAGGGAAGCATACTGCCGCTCCAGATGAAAACAGGGTTCTTCTACGGAGAGTGGAGGTTATCGATGGTACTAAAGTTAATGCTGTACATTTTATCATGACTGCTGAAAGTAAACATGGGTGAATTTCAGTACACACACACACACACACACACACACACACACAGTCAGGAAACAGTGAACTTGAGTTGATAGGATGGCTCAGTGGGTAAAGGTGGTTGTTGTCTGACCAGTTTACCTGAGTTTGATCCCTGGGACCCACACAACAGAGGGAGAACAGACTCCAGTAAGTTTTCCTATGGTGAATGCACATGTGTGCACGTGTACACACAAACACATTAAATAAATAAAATGTTTTAAAAGATACAAAGCATCCCAGCTGTGTCTTCAGGTGCGCTGTGGCAGCTGTGTCTTCAGGTGCGCTGTGGCCAGCCTTTTCCTTTTTTTTTCTTTGAGACAAAGTCTTTGCCATGTAGGCGAGCCAGCTGGCCTTAAACTTAGAGATTTACCTGTCTCTGCCTCCCAAGTGCTGAGATTGAAAGTGTGCACCACTGGGTCTGGTCCTTTCCGTCAATTTTGCCTTCTACCCTCCTCCTGGGTAATCAATGACTTGTTTCCTGTCACGACTGACAAATGCAAAAGTTCTAGACCCTTTAATAAATTAATCACAGAACATATACTTTTCTATGTAGCTTCTTTTGCTCAATTTTTTGAACCCATGGATGTTGTTATAGGTAGTGGGATTTCATCCTTTCTATTATTAGGTGGTATTCTATTACATATGTGCCATATTTATTTTTCCATTCACCGATTGATACACATTTGTGATATAAGGATTATAAATATCCACGCATGAGTATTTGTATAGAAATACGTTGGTGTTTCTCTTTGTTAGGTACCCACATGGAGGATAACTGGTTCATATGTAAGTGTATGTTTAAGTTTATGATTATGTGGCAATCATTTTTCTACAGTGGCTGGACCGTGTGACACGGCCCCCGTGGGGTGTTACTATTCCAGTAGTTCTTATTCTTGTCAGGGTTTGCTCACTGCTCATCATTTAATGTGCATCATTCTAGTGTGCATGTCACATTATCTCACTGTGCTTTTTTCTTTGAAAGCAAGTTAACCTTGACAAACACTCTGTACATGGGAACCCAGTGACCACACTGGGCAGGGACCCAGAAGTACTCCCTACAAGGCAAAGAACACCTACCACACATCCCTAAGATCCAGAGAGAGGATCAGAACATGTACCCAACAAAAACAAGGCCAGATAGCAACCCTTGGAATCACCTCAATCATCCTTAGTCCAGATGCCTAGACAGCAGCTGAAAAACGCAATGATTAATTGCCAAGACAATATGCCTCCACCAGAACCCAGTAACTCTACCACGATAGGCCCTGAGAAATGCAATATAACTGAAACACAAGACAAGAATGTTTCAGGACCTTAAATAGGATATGAATAAATCCTTTAATGAAGTCTGTGAAGACACAGTGAAATGAAATAATGAAAAAAGTTTAAGTCATGAAAATAGAAATAGAATAATTTTTAAAAACCCAAATTGAGATAGAACTAGAAATGAAAAAGTTAGAAAGTCAAACATATACCCCAGAGATAAAAGAAATGAATACCTCAGTCAAAGAAAATGTTAAATCTAAAAAAAAAAAAAAAAAAGTCTTGGCACAAAATATGCAGAAACCCAGAAAATGTGGGGCATTATAAAAAGACTAAATTTACAAATAATAGATATAGAGAAAAAAAAAAGAAGAAAAGCAGGTCAAAGACATAAAAATATTTTTAATAAAATCATAGAGGTATAAGAAACACACATAACACCAAATAGCCTGAACCAGAAAAGAAATTCTCACAACACATAATAATCAAAACACTAAATGCACAGAAGAAAGAAAGACCATTAAAAGCTGCCAGGGAAAAACATTTCAGTAGCATATAAAGGCAGAACCATTAGAATAAAACCTTATTTTTCAGTGGAGACTTTAAAAGCAAGAAGTATCTAGACAGATGTTCTACAAACTCTAAGAGACCACAGATATTAACCTAGACTAGTTTACCAAGAAGAACTTTCAATCTTAATAAATGGATAAAACTAAATTTATCTTTTTATCAATATAGCTCTACAGAAGCACTAGAATGAGCCACATCCAATAAAACACAAGGAATAAATAACACCAGACCAGCAAATTGAGCATTGGGGGAATCCCACAGAATAATAACAAAATAACAGGAATCAATAACTGCTAACTAATAATTCTTAATATTATTGGCTTCAATTCCCCACTAAAAAGACACAGGCTAACAGACTGGATTAAAAAACAAGGTCCATCCTTCTGCTGTATCCAAGAATAGACATCACATCAAGATAAAAGGACGGAAAAAGAAATTCCAAGCACAGGAGCTGGAGAGATGGCTCAGTGTTTAAGAGCAGTGGCTGTTTTTCCTGGGGACCTGGGTTCAGTTTCCAGCACCCACATGGCCATCTCTAATTCCAGTTCCAGGGCATCTGACATCCTCACATAGACAGACATGCAGGCAAAACACCAATGCACGTAAAATAAAAAATAAATCTTAAAAAAGAATTCCAAGCAAATAAACTCAAGGAACAAGCCAGTGTAAGTCATCTTAATATCTGACAATTAGACTTCAAACCAAAACTAATCAAAGAGACAGGGAAGGACATTGCATATTTGTCAGAGGAAATATCCACCAAGATGATCGATATTACAATTTTTAACATTTATGCATCAAGCACAGGGCATCTATTTTCAAAAAAAACAAACCACAACTACAGCAAAAAATCCTATATAGACCCCCACACAGTGAAAGTGAGTGAGATCAGCACCTCACTGTTGCCAATACGCAGATCATCCATAACGGAAGTTTTGGTTTTCTTTGTATGTTTTGTAAATATGCTTTTGTTTTAATCCTAAGTGTGGGATTTTAATTGGGCTAATGGCTTTTGCCAGCTGGTAATGGCCTTCTAAGTGCAGCATGGAGAGGTGTAGTCTAGGACTCTGAGCCAAAATTTGAGAGCGAAAAAGAAAAGGTGTGTGTTTGGTGGTGGCGTGTGGCGTGGAGCACTTTGGAGAGACCAGAGATGGTGTGGTGGTTTGTAGCAGACAGAGGAGACAAACACTTCGGGGAGTGGAGAAGATGGCTGGCTACATCTTCGGATGACAGAGATTGGCATAGCCCTAAAAGAACCCCCTGACCCTAAGTAGCCAGAAGAAGGAAAGAGGTCTGTGTCCCTCTTCCACTAAATGTTTCTCTCTTCTACTTAAGTTTGGGGAGTTGGTGGAAGGGAGATAGAGGCCTAAACATCCCCCCCCCCAAAAAAAAAGGAGAATTTTAAAAAAGAGTGCTACATTCATCCATACAAAAACTGAACAGAGAAATGCTGGAGTTAAATAACATCATGAATCAAATGGACCTAGCAGATATTTATAGAACATTTCACCCAAACACAAAAGAATTTGCCACCTTCTCATGAAACTTTCTCCAAAACTGACCACAAACTTGGACACAAAGCAGCATCCTATCTGACCACCATGAATTAAAACTTTCATTCTTGTTTGTTTGTTTTATTTGTCTGTTTGATTTCTAAAGAGAGAAAAAGAAGGTATGGCTTTGAAATGCTGGGGAAATGGGGAAGATCTGGGAGGAGAAGAGGGAGGGAAAACAATGATTAGAATATTTTGTATATAAAAAGATTTATCTTCAATTTAAAAAATCAACCCTAATCTTTATTTAAAAATTTTATTTACTTATTTTTATGTGAATGGATGTTTTGTCTGAATATTTCTGTGCACCATGGGTGTGCCTGGGACTCTGGGAGGCCAGAAGAGGACATTGGCACCTGAAGCTGGAGTTACAGAAAGCTGTGAACCATCATGTAGGGGTTGACGAAACCTGTGTCCTCTGGAAGAGCCCCAGTGCCTTTAACCCATGAGCCATCTCTCCTCCTCACTGTGGCTTTCATTTGCAATTCTCCAGTGACTATTAGTACCTTTTAGTATACTTATTGGACGTTGTATATTGTTTGTAAAATGATTCTTCAAAGTGCTCATCAAGGAGACAAATCTTTTTAAAAAACTTTTTATTGATTCTTTGTGAATTTCACATCATGTCCCCAAGCCCACTCATCTCCCTGCCCCTCCATATCTGGCCCTTACAACCTCACTCTCAAAACAAAACAAACTAAACAACCAACCAACAAATCAACTGACAAACAAAATCTCACTGTGGAAGTTGCAGTGTGTCACACGATAAACCCTTTTGTACGAACAGCTTTTATTGCAAATGTTCATTGCCGTGAGTCATTGGTCTGGTTCTAGGCCTCAGGCTTCTGCTACACCATCAGTACAGGGTCCTCAGCCATACTCCTCTCAGATGTTCTGTCATTGCCCTCGTTGCCTCTTGCAGCTTTGGTTGGAGAGCCAGCAGTTCATATATGTGATAGATGTTGGGGTGGGGGGACTCAAAGCCCTGGATCTGGGCCACTGTGTTAGCTGAGTTGGTCAGCCTGACAACTCTCCCACACCCACACCGCCTGGTCCAGCTCTCTAGCACTGTCCAGCCCAGGGGTGGGGCCAACTCTCCTGAGTGCCACAGCCAGTAAGAGCCGGGCCAGATCACCCACAAGGCCTGCAAGCTCTAGTATGTTGCCCAGGGGAAGTGTAGGTCCTCTTTCCCGGTGCTGCAGCCAGTGAGGGCCAGGGGCAGCTTTCCCACACTGCCCAGGCACAGGATGATGACAGCTTTCCTGAGTGCCACAGCTGATATGGCATGGGACATCGATACAGACCCCTGTGGCTGCAGGGCCAAAGCCAGCCATGGCCCATGCGCGGGATCTCACCATGGCTTCAGGCGGCATCACAGCTACTCACATCAGGCTGTTCCTCACAACCCCCGAGATGCCAGTTCCACCTCTCTTCACTGCCCTGATTCTCGTTCTCCCATCTCCCCACCACTTACTTGCTTATATTAGTGGCTCCTGGGGCTGCTGAGTAGCTTCCAAATAGAAAAGGCATTGTCTAGGTCAGAGACAAATATTTTTAATTTTTCAGACACATTCTTTCTATATAGCCCTGATTATACTGGAACTCTCTATGCAGGCCAATTTGGCCTGGAATTTACAGAGATCCTCTCGCCTCTGCTGCATGAGTGCTGGGGTTAAAAGTACGTGCTACCATACCTTTTGTTTTCATTTCTGTTCTTGTTTTTCGTTTTGTTTTGAAGAGGAATCTTACGGGTGGTGGACTAGCATGAAGCAACACACACAACTGTGCATGGAGGTACTTAACTTTAATCCCAGTACATGGGAGGCAGGAACAGGCAGATCTCTGTAAGTTTGAGGCCAGCCGAATCTATATAGTGAGTTCCAGGAGAGCCAGAGCCACTCAGTGAAACCCTAGCTTGAAGAAGAAGAAGAAGAGGAAGGAAAAGAAAAGGAAGAGGAGAGGGAGAAGGAACAGGAGGAGAAAGAGAAGGAGAAGGAGGAGAAAAAGGAGAAGAAGAAACATACACAATGAGATTATGCTCCACATTTATGTGAAGAGCTACTTAAAAACATTCTGTATCAAGTGATAAAAGTATAAAGTGGGGATGGGAAACACACTCAAAGTATATAATTTACTTGCATGACAATGGCCTTAGATAATAATAGAAGAAGAAGAAGAAGAAGAAGAAGAAGAAGAAGAAGAAGAAGAAG